GGCGAAGGAGGTCTTGGATCTACGTGCAACTGCTCTACGCGCGTCTTCCGAAAGAGCAGCCGGGTAACGAATAAACGACAGAGGGCTTTAGTCGGTTCGGCTCGGACATACTCCGCCTACCGCCCCCAGCGTCGAGACAAAAAAGAAAAAAAAAGAATGTTGGTTGACTGTGTTTTTCCGTATTTTTTTTCCTTAAAACTTTTCATATTTAAAACAATACACAAATAACCGTAATGCGTAAAACAATTTACATATATTTGGTAATCTGATTAAGACGTTGGCACGAAAAATTTTCAAGGTGACAAGGCCCAATATGTTTTGTTTTCCGGCATACACGGGACGGCTGAAGTTTAAAACGCGACACGTGCCTAAATGTAAAAGTATTATAGTATTTACTGTCGTCGTATTTCGCGGCGCAGCGCTGGATAGCCGAGACGAGCTCCGGGTGAGAGCGGTTTATCATCATAACGGAAACTGACGCTCTTGAAACACAAGAGCGTTTACACAGATTACTGGTGGTAGGACCTCTTATTTATTTATTTATTTATTTATTGCATTCAATACAAAGTCAGGCTTACAGTTTTCACCAAAACGTCTGACTCGTTAACACAAAAACATTATTGAAATTATTAAGTACTATTATAATATTATGCTAAAAATAAAATTATTTTCGAATAGAGTATTCCCCAACTATCGGCAAATACGTCAGCATCCTGGATTTAGGACAGAAACTCGTTTAACAGCGCAATCGCCCCAGCCGTTGGACAGTTCCTAGCTCTACGGGTCCTCAGCCAACGCCAACGCCGCAAATAAGTGGTGGTGGCGGCGCACTCCCGCCCGCGCATACTGTTGCGGGACGAATAGTGTCATTTGCCGTAGTGCCACGGGATTATTGACTCTATTCTGTAATAAAGAACAGTAATGTACGAGTAGATGCAACTTTCGCCTGTGGTTTAGGGTATCCAGTCCAACCATACCTGACACAAAAAGCGACGGAAACAAAAACGGATATTAACCATATAACCTCTTATACAGGTACCGAGCAAACTTACGCTGAACTCTCTCTATGAGCATATTGTATTTTGATTCCCAAGGATCCCAAACAATGCAATTATATTCCCATTCCTCTTGTGAGTCAGCGCGGGTAGGTACCACCGCCCTGCCTATTTCTGCCGTGATACAGTAATGCGTTTCGGTTTGAAGGGTGGGGCAGCCGTTGTAACTATACCGAGATCTTAGAACATATATCTCAAGGTGGGTGGCGCATTTACGTTGTAGATGTCAATGGGCTCCAGTAACCACTTAACACCAGGTGGGCTGTGAGCTCGTCCACCCACCCATTTAAGCAATAAAAAAAAAAACAAGATTAAAGTCTCCATACCATCGTCATAACTGTTCCAGTTATTCCCGATCGGCGACGCTGCTTGCTTCGTTGTTATGTCTAAAGAGAATTGTGACAGTTTCTCGTTCATCATTGATGATCAGACAGAGGTTATTGGCGCCTGGCATAGAGTGATTAATTGAGCTCATATGCATGATAATACCGCGCAGACTTTGAGTTTGACTTTTCAATTGTGATCGAGTATCTGCTATCCGCACCCTACGAATCGCATGGTCGCTTCCCAGGCATGTTCGCATCCAAATCCCCACATGTGAATAAAATACAAACACGTTTATCTTACAACATGGTCTTTACAAAAAAACAGAGCTCAGACCCAGGTATAACTGTTTAAACACCGACGCGCTGTGAAACAAAGAAAAATACTTAAGTGCTAAATAGCCAAGAAACACACAATTATGCTGTTTTTCAGTTCCACCTGAGCACGATTTTATAAAGTCGCTTTCCATAATGATCAGAATTTATTAAAGACGTAATGAGAAATGGCGGCAGGTCACGGGCACCACATGTGACTCACACATTCCTCTTCTCCTAAAAGGGAAGATATATAAGACCTTAATAAGGCCTGCCGTCTTGTATGGATCAGATTGTTGGACCACTAAAGTGGCGGATGAAAGGCGATTGCATGCAGCAGAGATGCGAATGTTGCGATGGATGTGTGGAGTAACGAGAATGGATAGAATACGGAAAGAATATGTTAGAGGAAGTCTGAAAGTGGCACCTGTGAAAGAGAAGCTGAGAAGTGCGCGTTTGGGATGGTATGGACATGTGATGAGACGAAATGAAAATGAGGTTGGTAAGAAAATTTTAACTATGAGTGTGGAAGGATATAGAGGAAGAGGTAGACCTAAGAAGAAATGGATGGATTGCGTGAAAGACGATACGGGTAAGAGGGGAGTGAACGAAGAAATGGTATATGATAAAAGAGTATGGAAGGAGAAAACATGTTGCGCCGACCCCAGTTAACTGGGAGAAGGGCAGGACAATGATGATGATGATAATGAGAAATAATATTTGCGTGTACTCAAAGCAGTATAATCAGTGCGACCTGTGCGTCATTCCGGATATAGCTTATTAACTTGTCTCTTTAATTTTCCTCCCGTGATGTTTCTGTATAAAGTTTTGATGTGCGTATATAAATTCCTCGACTGATCTATGAAAGGTACGTCGAACATAAGTTGAATCATATGTTTTTGTTTATCGTTTATTTATAAACATGTTGACATTATCATGTTTAAGTCTTTGTTCGCATCTATCTTCTTCTTCTATATATATAAAAATGAATTGCTGTATTCTTTAATTTATTATTGCCCTTGTAGGCAGACGAGCATACGGCCCACCTGATGGTGAGTGGTTACCGTCGCCCATGGACTTCAGCAATGCCAGGGGCAGAGCCAAGCCGCTGCCTACCGAAACTGTTCGTTAGTCTCGCTAAAACTCTAGAACGGCTGAACCAATTTGGCTAACTTTGGTCTTGAATTATTTGTGGAAATCCAGAGAAGGTTTAAAAGGTAGATAAATATGAAAATGCTCGGAATTAAATAAAAATAACAATTTTGTTTTTCCTTTGATGTGCCCCCCGTTGGACGGCTTCCTTTTGTTTGTTTTAAGTTTATTTTATACAAAAGTTTAGGTCTTTTATTTATCGATTGAGGCATTACAAAGTCTGCCGGGGCAGCTAGTTGCTTGATAAAAAATACGGGAAACCTTTAGGTCGATGTCAATGTCACCAACGCGGTGGCCATGCTCCGTAAGTACATCTTGTGTCGGGCCAGCACGATAGTATCCGTACGGGTTTCTAAAAGGAAAGAGTATAGGGATACTTTAAAAAGGTCGTCAATTATTTATATTTACTAGTGGTCGCCCAGCGGTCGAAATTCGACTATAACTAAAATTATAAGTTTGAACAAGGGATTAAGGGTATCTTGTCAAATACTAGGTATTCCTTTATAATCACAGATTTCGCTGAGGCTACACTATAGATAAATAATATTCAATACAAACAATATTAATCTATTTTCAATTTGAACACAGACTTTAACAATAAAAAAACGAGTATTTATGCATGTGTGTGTCAAATACATGGTAGTGTGTGTCATGTTTTTTTTTTATTGAATTTAATTTATTTTTATTATATAATTAAAAAAAAATATTGCTTTCTGCATCCTTCTGTATATAAACTATAAGTATAGAAAATTTCACACTCCGTCCGCGCGATTTTCGTAAAAAGGGGTATAAAATTTTTGCTTCAAGTATGAATATACCTATATAATGTTTGTTATCATACGATCGAAGTTTTAGTCGTAACGTGTGATCACGGGTGCTCACAGATTTAGCAACTTATCATCAGTGCCAGTTGCTGCTAAATTGCCATCTTGATATCCAGGGAAGGAGGGCAGACAAGCTTACGGTCCATCTGGGCTAAAGCGGTCATCAGAACCTATACGTCAGTGCGAATACCATCGCTTACCTTGATGACTCTTCAGTTTAACTGCTCATAAGGAATACCGGGCTTCGAACCCGTAGTTTACTTGGGCCTGATAGACTGACTACTCATATAGACCCTCTCGACAATTTTTCATATCTAGTTTTCTCCAGTAATGGAAAATAAACAGGGAAGTCGAAGTATACGAAGCTCTCATAAAATATATTAATATCTAGATAATATTAAAACCACAACAAGCTAGTTATAACGATGACGTCATCCTCACCCAGGCGATTAGGGTCAATCGATGACACATTCATGCGTTTGACCTGTTTCAATAGGTATTTATTTATGTCTGTTAACGTAGAGAAAAACAACCGATATAAGAGATAGTGTGAACGCCCTTGAGTTATACTTAACTGTACTGGAATAAAGCTCATCTGTGTGCTGTATGTGATGGATGTTTACGACCCACCTGGAACTAAGCGGTTAGTGAAGAATATATTACGACGTGAATGCCGCGACCCGCCTCTAGACATGAGGTCCTAGTCTCAATGGCATTGTATAACGGTCCCACCCCTTGTACTGGATTGCATGTCTACTTGGCAACGGAAATTGGCTAATGGTACCTACCCGTGCGGGCATACGATACACCCTACAACCTGTCAATGGCCGTCGACGGTAGCGGTACGCTTATATTATACTCGGTGAAAGCTGCTATACAATCTGCAAGGAATGCCGACTAGTCGACTTTTCAATATCCACCCGAAGAGATATGTGGTGGTCCTATTCTAGGCCAAACAACACTCAGCGAATGGATTATTAATATAATTAATTGGTTACCAAAATCCAGGGGGGAGGGTGATGGGAGAGATGTGCTCTCACTAAGCGTTTCACTCTCACTCCTTTGCCTTTTCCTGATTTAGGTCTCATGCGAAATTCGGCCGTGGGTTGTTAAGTGACAGGAGGCTTACTTAGTCGGTTCAACTCCGACATGACACTGGGGCTGGAGGGCTGGAGTCTGGCTATTTCCTCCTGACTAAAAAAAGAACCAACGCAACGTCAGTACTAAATTCCAGATTCGGCGGGGCCCAACCTCGCCAAGCTTCAAGTGCAAAATACTAATTTAATTTTACGTATAGTACAAGTTCAGTATATTTTGGCGTATGGTTTCAGTGTTTCTGTGCGATGACTCTGTTCTACTGCGCACACTGGCAAGCCTACGTAACGGGGACGTTGAAGATGGGTCGGATAGACGTGACCGAGGCTCAGTTCTCGATTATCGGCATACATCTGATATCCGCTGTCCTCGGACCCGACTTTTGGTCCACTCAGGTAATGTTCTCTTTAGATTCATCATGTCTTGTTTTTCCTTCGATCTAAATTCACGGTATCATGCTTATTGACTGAACTACGTATCGTCGCTGTCAAACCAAAATCTGCTATGTGCAAAAACTCTATTTTGAATTAATGAGTAAAAACATTTTCGTATAAAATTTTATATGAACCTTCATAATGTTCTTAATTTTTAAGAACTATATCAAATGAAAGCTATAGATAAATATTAAAGCTATAGGCACATAACAGTTTTTTTATACGGTAGATAGGGCTGTGAACTATACGAAAAGGTCAACAGTAAAAATCTCAAAAAGTGCACATAGTCGATTTTGGTTTGACGACGACGATATTGTATTCGAAGATCTGTGATATTAGATCGAAGATGTTTAGTTAAGTCGATTGTCAAATATTGATAAATTGAAGATTTTAATGTTCAAAAATAAAATTTGATCATCATTTAAATATACTTAAAAATACCCACATGAATGCTTCACAAGTAACTGTCGTGAAAGTACCAGCTGCGACCCACAAAGCCAGGCCACAACGCTTTGTATTATTACAATCAGCTTTTGTGACGTCAGTCCGAATCAAACGCTGGTTACGAAACTGTAATTAGTTAAAAGAGACCGTAACCAAAAACGCCTTTAGGTCGGTGGTGGACTCGAAATCCGCTACTCGGTGGCTCTGGCCGCTATCGTTGGAGCCTTCCTCACCATAGGGACGCTGGCTGCCGCTATCGTCAGCGGCGGCGTCGGGAAAAACGGCTCCACCGTCGCTGTGAGACATCCAATACCTTCATTTCAGCCTGGTACTGGAATAGCGGTTCGGGAAATTGTGGACTTACAAATGTCCTGCCAATTAAATTGATTTAATTGAAGTAGCCATTCCATAACTTAAAAACTAGGAGATAGGATAAAGCAATGACTCCTATATATCTGTTATATTACATTCGGTTACGCTAAAGTCGCGGGGTTGCTGCGTTTCCTGAACCGCTCTTGAAATTTTGGCTTTAGATTGGGTTTTCATTTCTTAACGTATTGTAAAATCATCGGTTTTTTTTAACAATTCGTTTCTATCGCCATTAGTTTAGTCTTTCCACACGTGTCGCATTTATTTGATTTCCGCCTAAGTACGTGTCGGCTGCGATGGCTCCGCCAACTGTTCCGTTGCTTACGAACTCTGTTCAACTAAAACATTCCGCTGGTTCCATCGCTTATTCTCATGTGGGTTTTTTTAATAGCATGTAAATTTGTTGTTTATTAATTAGATTATGCTCACTGATTTCGTTTTACTTTTTATTTCTCTTTGAGCATGGTCTATTTGTAAACGTTAAGTTATCCGTAATTTAGGGTAGGATTGTTACAGTAATGTGTTAGAGTATCGTGATTATTTTTATTGATACGTATCTGATGCGTCTTATATTGTATTCTGTAGATGTGGGTCTTCACTCATATGTGTAAAGTTTTTTTGTGATCAGAAGACCAGTTAGATTTAAAAAAGTTATGTTCCTAACCTAGACCAGCAGATGAGTTTGTTATCTAAATCTTAGGAAGTTAATTGGCGACTGTAAGACATGTACATACGGTTTTTTTTTTGAAATTTTACTAACGAAACAAACCCAGAGCTACTCAGCCATTGATCGATCGCAATCGTAACAATTAGTCGCTGTAGATATAAAACTCACAAAGTATGGTAATAACAGATCCGGTACACGAACGTGCCCTGGTGTCTGCAACTCTGCTCCGTGACTCATGCGGTCCATATATTCCTTATAACGAATTTCGTCTCAACGTTCAGAGCTAGGGGTTGCGGAAAAAACGGATCCTCCGTAGCAGTAAGATGGGGCTGCCCAGACAGTGTGTTTACTTTGTATGTGCACCCGATCAGTGGAAATAATGGTGCTTTTGCGATTCAGTCATTTATCAGAGATCCCTTGAAACAATTATTTATCAGCCTCTCGAAGAATGAAGTTCAATCTAACATCCTTCATTTCTATGAGAAAGATAACATAACACATTTGCGATTTGTGGCACATTTCAACTATCTGAATTGAACTAATCAAGTCTGTAAAGTTGGGTAATTTAACCAGTCACATATTCTTACCCGTATTACATTTGTGTCATGTCAATATAATAAAATTAGCTGTGTAAAATTTCGAACGTGAATGTGAAACAGCGTCGTTCTTCTTGTACGTGTACTGAGCAATCCCAGACTTCAGGCAATGGTACTAATGCGAAAAATCTTCCGTAAAATACGCAAAACAACTGTGCAAAGGTTGACTGACGATTGTGAAATACATATCGTCTTTTCGCATTAAAAGTTGTACAATTTTCTAAAATATTCGAAATTAAGTTAATATGTGGAATTATTTGGTATCACCAGTATTTTTCTCATAAATACTGTCAATATAGCGTAGTTTAGTTTTTTTTTTTAGTTTACCTATATTTTGACTAATATTAACAAAATTAATTCATAATTTTATCCTACTTTAAAAGACAGATAATGTAACTGGTAAAAAATAAATGTTGCAAAGATGATTAATAGTAATTAAAATATCACATGTTAAACTTTTAAAACACTCTCCTTTAAAATTTGTAAGTTTTAAGATTATACAGTTTTAATGCGAGAAGACGATATAACACTTATACAATACACACGTACAGCTTAAAACTACTTAGATTTTTTTAAAATTGAATTATAAGGGCTATTTTCTCTAGTTTTTGTGTTAAACAAACGAGATTAAACTCCTGAAATACAGCTGTAATTCGTGAGATTTGTAAGTGGACCACTTAATGTGACTTTATCGTCCGTGTGTCACTACATTTGTAAAGGTGAATTATTAAATACATATTGGTGTTTGACTGAATCGTAAAAAGCTACCGGTGAATAGTCCTGTTCTTGACGCCGCATGTTAGGTCATCGTTGTGTATATAACGCTATTAGATATCGATGCATTTTGGAAACGGTTTCGGCTCATTACGGGAACACAAACTATTACTATAGATTTTATTTTAAAAGGGATTATGTTCATTGGTTCAGTATCATACGACACAACCATCTCAATCATCGTCACCGACTAACATGAGTGAAGACATCACGCCTACCCATTTTGTTTTTGTTAGAAATAATATTAATTAATGGCATGATTATGTTTTCTTTTCCTACTGCCGCCGTACCTCGCCGTTGGATCGTAACCGCATGAAACCAAATCTTCATCACACGTAACACTACAGTTGCCGACGATTAAGATCAGTGTCAATCTGATATCGAACTATGTTGTCGTACTGTTCACGCTGTATCTCGTGGCTGCGTACATAAACGTTATAGTCAAAGGTGGAGTCGGGAAAAACGGGTCGACCGTCGCAGTAAGGAACCAAAAATAATGTTTATACAGCATTGTGCCGTTCTGATAACCACTTAACGTTTTTTATTTGTTTATTTTTAACTGCTGCACGTTTATATTATTATCCTGGCGGTTTTAATTTGGTTATTATTAATAAATAAACTTTTTTTTTTTAATTAACGATTTTAGTATAATTAACAAAATTATTTGATATTACAACGAATGCTGTAAATGCTGACGACTAGTCTAACAAAACCGAATTATGCATGAGCTTAATAATGGACAGCACGATTTTTAATTACCAAAATAATTCAAAAGGAAATTGGCGCTGATGATTAAATCATACATAAAAATATAAATATGCTTACGAACCCAAAATAACAATAAAAAATAAAAACTAACTTCAATTTACCTCTCTCTTTAAAAAGCAAAACTCGTTATTTCAATTACTCGAGTGACACATTTTTTTGCAGTTACTTTGATTTACACATCAAAATTCTCAACCGTTTTTATGAAATTTCTGTCCTACCAATCTACTCTTTGAAATAAAATACTATCAGATTTTGCCTAATCGGTTCATAAGTGACTGATAACTGAGCTAACAAAATAATAAAAAAAACTGGGAATTAAGCATTAGGCATTAAGCTTTAGGTCTTTTGAATTCGGCTAAAAACAGTTAATTGTACAAAGCTTACTGGTTATTTGTTTTGAAAATCATTTCACTTGATTCCGGAACGTTATGCAAACGCAGTGACCGGTATCAGCTTTGCTCTGTCCCTGACACTGATGATGGCCACCGACGACGGTTACTGACCATCAGATAGTTGAGTACTTTTCTTTGCATTTGACAGCAAGGAAACAGCAGACACGTCTCGGCCACTAAACCTAAGACGCTTCTAAGTTTGTTCAGAGAAGAATCCGAATCCATCTTTGAAACATTGTGTGTTAATTTATTTTTGGTAATTAAAAACTGGTCATGTTTTATAGACATCGGGATTGAAGTAAAAGCTCTTTGTCATTACTACTGGCCACGTACAGTATCTGAAAAAGATTTTTCTCGATCATCAGCTCATAGTTTAATTGAATTCTCAGCGAGTCAAAGTCTTCGCCCAGCAAGTGTCATTTGCCCTGGTCCTTTACTTGTTTCATAAATGAATATTGAAGGTTTATTAAATACAATAGTTTTAAAATCACCAGGATAACTTGCCATTACTGACGTAACACAGCTCGCGTCGCATCACGCATCTCTATGGAGCTAAAACAAAATCCTGTATTTGGACTTCTTGTAACATTTACCCAGGCTAGCCAAAATCACCCTCAAAGTGAACCTTTTCATTCCTAAGACATTGTTGGTTCAAGACCAATGTGTCCTTGAATAGGTGTCAGAAGGGTTCTAAGGCTGTATCTTTGAACATACGCTAACGATCTAATATTACCCTCCCTACTTTTTGAAGACTACCTCTTGGCATTTCAGACAATGCCGAATCGCTTAAGCATATTTCAGGAAGGCTACGTAAAATTGTTTCACAGTTGGGTGGTACTTCTGTAGTGTTGTGTTGTGCTCTCATAGTTTCGTGTAACTGCATCGTCCTAGTTGCGAATGTTACTACTCACAGCCGGCTTGCATGTTCTCTGCATGACGCTACTGTATATATGTAGTATGTAACTTTGTTAGTTTTCTTTTTGTATGTTGATGAACTTCTAAATTGGAGACACGAGTGGATGAAGGGAATATGATACTATTAATTTTGATTAAACAAACTTGGTTACTTGTACTTTTTTTTCGTACCTAACTCCCTCGCCACATGCAATTTCTAAAAATAGCCTTTAAATCCGGAGTTTAAGGTCTAATATTGTTTATAACACCTTCATTCAATGTAAAAACTCAAAAATCTTCAAAATGTTACTACTTAACCCATTCATCCATTCATGTCTTCAGTTATGATTGATACTTAAAAAAATAATGCCTTTCTGTAGTATTTTTGTAAACTGAGTATTTGGAACTCAATAGTGACTTTTGGTGCCCGGCTCAGTACCCTATTCAGACTCTTCTAATCTCAAGAATAGAAAAGACGTTATTAAAGAATACCACGATTTAAAGTTCTTGTAATATTTATTTGCTACAATTATTATACCTTGACATGGTGGTCTACAGATCCCTAATTTGAGCCAGTAAAAATTATATAAAATATCCTGAGAAAAAAAAACTAAAATATTTTATGTAAATGTGATAATTTGCATGATTTACGAAAGTTCAAGATCCGTCAAGACCAAGGTACATACTTAGTCTCCCACCCAGGGCACGAGCATCCTGTCTCCGGTGATACCGTTCTCGCTGGTCGTGGTGCCAGCGTTTATCATCTTCCAGAAGAGCGAGTCGCACGTGTACGAGAACCACCCGGCGCTCTACATCTTAGCGTTCGGCATGGTCACGGCGAAGGTCACGAACAAACTGGTGGTGGGTATACAGGATTTAGTGCAGGCGATGTGGATAACTGGTTTAAAGAAACGGACTTTCTTATACGAGCCCAGTGACCGTTTAATGATTGGCCTTATCACGGATATTGGCAAGGCCAATAAGACCAAGGGTCTTTTTTTTTTGTTTCCTACCTAAACTGAGAGCCTTGAGAAGCTATTTCAGCGTAACCTTAACTAGTAGGTGAGCTCACGGGGCTCAAACCAGACGACGTTGCTAACACGAACCCTAGCAAGAGCCGTGCTTCGCAGAATCTACCGCCGGATCGGAAACGCGACCCACTGAGAAGATCCGGCGAGAAATCAGTCGGCTGTGTCTGAGGGCCAAGGGCCATAGACACCGTGCTGGGTTTTCAACTCTGAATACATAGTGTTCTAGCAGTGGTTCATATCTAACGAAACCTGCCCAATTCTGAACACAGACCACCCAATAAGACATCACAGTGTCGAGAGCTGGTATATCCTTCGAGGAAGAAATAGATTTGTTGCCAATCATTTTGTGATAGAAGTCGTGAGCTCTGGAAATGATTAGCGTTTAAAATATCGAAACTTCCTGTATAAAATCAGTTAGAACGCGTTTTTGTGTTGGCTTGCAGGTGGCTCACATGACTAAAAGCGAGATGGAATACTACGACTGGTCGCTGCTGGGTCCGGCGATGCTGTTTCTTAACCAGTACTTCAACAACGCGCTGCCGGAGTACTGGGTGCTCTGGCTCTGCACGGTACCTGTCGCCTCTCCTGCCCACTGCGGCCCCTGGAGATCCTCGATTTTTTTCTTAGATGTGTGGACGAGCTCACAGACCACCTGGTGTTAAGAGGTTTCTAGAGCACATAGACATCTATAACGTAAATGCGCCATCCACCTTGAGATATAAGTTTTAAGATTTCAAGTATAGTTACAACGGCTGCGGTTTCGGTCTAAAGGGCGGGCTTTTAGACCGAAACGACAGGTAGGCAGCGGCTTGGCTCCTCTGGCATTGCTGAAGTCCATGGGCGACGATAACCACTCACCATCAGGTGGGCCGTATGCTCATCTGCCTATAAGGGCAATAAAAAATATAAAAAAAAACACATTACTGCTTCACGGCAGAAACAGGCGGGGTGGTGGTGGTAGGAGGTGGTCACGACCCTCTGTATTAAGGAAACCGAAGCAAGAAGAAGGTGGTACCTACCCGTGCGGACTCACAAGAGGTCCTACCACCAGTAACTGGACATTCCTTGAGCACCCCAAGTTTGAAGATGAGGGTTATCGATATTGCAGGCCTAAGGGATGCGGGTGGTAGTCATTGTATGACGACACATTATGTGCGACAGTTAATGTCGCTCTTCTAAAGAGTTAAACTAAAACTTGGTTTAATATTATTTAAATCTACACCCACCGTAGTCCATAGACATCACGAGAACGTCGATGCTTGCTCTGAGGCAAGAGATTGAAGTAGGCTTGTGGAGAGTATTGAGCGGTAGGCAGCGGTTTGGCTCTGCACCTGGCATTGCTGATGTCCATCGGCGACGGTAACCACTCACCATCAGGTGGGCCGTATGCTCATCTGTCTACAAGGGCAATAAAAAAAGAAAACATGTGTGCAATTCACACGTGGTAGAAGTGAAACCTTCAAAAATTAAAATACAATTATCCTAAATGTATATGTAAAATTTTGTCATTAGTAAATAATTGTAAATTATCTTTTATAGTATGAAGTGGCGCCCTCTGTGAATTGATATTTAAACTTCACGTATAATCCTAAATTAAAATTCACTACAAGAGGTTTCATACACATGTTAGCACTAAAAAATTACTGGAAAGTTAATAAAATTACTGGAGCCCATAGGCATCTACAACGTAAATGCGCCACCCACCTTTAGATATAAGCTCTAAGGTCTCAAGTATAGTTACAACGGCTGCCCCACCCTTCAAACCGAAACGCATTACTGCTTCACGGTAGAAATAGGCAGGGCGGTGGTACCCACCCGCGCGGATTCACAAGAGGTCTTATCACTAGTAATAGATGGCGCTGTATTAAAAAAAAACACTACACTGAGAACGTCTAATGTGTTCTATCTCGTTCTCTCGCCGGCTGAATCCTGTACATTTATGTATTTGTGTCTCTGTGGACTTATTTTTTCGTTTCATAGAGTGAGTTTCGTCCGCAGGTGTGGGTGTGCGGGGAGCTGGTGCGCTACTGCGGACAGGTCTGCCGCGAGATCTGCGACCACCTCGACATCCAGCTGTTCCGCATCCCGCGCGCCGCGCCCGCCCCCGCCTCCGCCTCCGCGCCCGCGCACAGCAAGGCCGCGCCCGACAGAAACGGTACGCGACGCCACGCCGCCAAGCACGCGAGACGACAGCCAGCCAACTAACCCCCTCCCGTGTGCCCGCGAACCTTTTGAGCGTATTGTATTGCATCTCCGTGAGCAACAAAATACACTCAAAAGGTTCAAAGTCGCTCAGTAACACTTCCGTCTCTGTCGCTCACGTACTAAACGTCCCCGGTAACAACAACCCGACGGCAAATATTAGGTTAAATGATGTAGCAGCCGCGGGTGCACATAATGGAAATTGTATCATATTAATTATATTATTTATTTCGAACACACACAGCCAAAGAATATGAATGTTGTTATTAACGAGGAAATATTGGTAATAAGATAATCAGTAAAGGTAGGTTGTCCTTGGTCTACTACTTTGGAATGTCAATAGGCTTTTAAACAAATTATATATAGCTGCCTTCTATATGAAGACGAGGAATGTTACAACTGTTTAGATGGTTGTTAGACAAAGAAAGCATTACAGCTACTAATGACGTCACGGCTCATGCGCATAGCGTTACATCCCATACTTATTTTTATTACCAATTTAAATAGTCCCTCCACTACACTCGTATTCTGTTCAAACTAGTCGATGTCACTAAGCACAACTTCAGCTTAATGCGTCTTTGATTCTCTTGTGAAACAACGATGCTTGATTTTCCACAAGAACTCTCAAAGTTCTCAAAGGTTCGATAATGTGAGTCTGGCCGCGACCTTACTGGGAGTTTTAGTTAAAAAAAATCATTCTAGACAATGTCCATCTCTATCCCTATTTCAATATACATAAATATAACAGCTTACGGATGACGCGTTAGTGTACGAGGTGAATGCTTTTATTCAGTTAAAAGATCTATTTTAATTACTTGAGGTCCCATTATACTCTTGCGGCCTGGCAAACGCGTGTTCTCGACTATTGACAGCGAGGCACGGAGTCTGGGACTCGCGCAAGACGTCCCCAGGATGACTTTACGTCACGCGTATCCTTGAGTGGAGACGTCGCGTCCAATTAACTGTGAGACCTCAAGATATTGTTCATCTTTGTAATGTAACAAATGCTTTGTCGAAATATTGTAGATTACGTTATACGGTCAGCACAAAACGAATAGTTAAGTCTTGTTTCGAACCGCCCTGTGGTCCTTGGGCCCCTGCACCGCGTGCGACAGCGGGGACGATCCCCCTCCCAACCCCCCGATAAATTCAACAAAAAATGCCCCGATTGCAATTGCATCGTCCCCTAGTGTTAGAAACTCGAATCAAAAGCAACTATGGTTTGTTCCGTCGCAGGATAGCGTTAACTGGTGGTTGGGTCTTCTTTAAATCACTCGATTGTTCTTGTAGATGTGTGTGAGGTATACATAGGGAGCCCTCAACAGTAAGTGGCGCCAGTAGCTCCCGCTTAGTGAATGCTAAATAGTAAAACATATAGTATATGGAAGAAACACACAGTCCGCGCGCGACCTCCGAAGAATGTTGACGTAATGAGCTAGTGTTGTAATCAGTCGATATTGCGCTATCGATACTCACACATCTTGAGCCTCCATGCGAGTGTAAATTATAAAATAGTTCTATGGGGGTATTATGTACTTCAAATAAAATAAAAACAATAGATCACGTATGAATTTAATTTAATGAACTGATACTTATTGAACAAAATGAACATTAATCATCGTGGCAATCAGATTAATCAGTAGTTGAAGGTTTTGATGTGGTATCGACACTCTCCTCGCGTACTTCAATAATAAATGATTCGACAACATCCTCCCTTAAGCCATCCTTTTGCCAGTAATGTTCCTCTAATGCTAAGATATATTTGCCATTCCTTTTTCATCAAATTAAATAGCTATTTGTGCAAACAAAAATACTTATAAGTGTAGGTACTATTTATAATGGACTAGCGGCCCGCTCTGGCTCCGCTCGGGTCTTTAACAAAAATTTCAACGATATTTGATGTTGTTTTATTTTTTTTAATAAAGGAACACTTATTGCGACATAACTATAATAGTTAAGACATAATAATATGCTGTCGCGACACTATTTGTAAATAATAGTGTTCTACAAAGTCGTAGTACATTATTGTACATACAGAATCTATCATCAATAGTTTTCGCAGGGCACGCGATGTAAAGAATATTTTAGTTAAATTTTTTACACATTGGGTTACATTATTAGAATTTTAGTAAGGATCCCTAATTTTTTCAAAAAAGATTATAGCCTATGTCACTCGGGAGTACTGTAGCTTCCAAACAGTGAAAGAATTTTTCAAATCGGTTCAGTAGTTTCGGAGCCTATTCAAGACAAAGAAACAAATAAATCTTTCCTCTTTATAATATTAGGATAGAAAACACACCACGTAAATAACACTGCTATCGCAAAATTAATAGAGACGAGTCGGTAAGCGCACTCTCACGTTGAGGTCGACACTAGTGCTAGGAGAGTGCGGGGTATGAAGTGATGGCCTCCTCAGCCACAGATTCATCGCAGCTCGCGCGCGGACTGTACCAAATAACACATTCAGCTACACCACATTTTCCAACGAGTCAGTTCGGAATATGTCCATAGTCCTGTTTAAAAATGTTATGACAATTCAATCAATTAGAAATATTCTCGCGAGTGGCGACAGGTCGCGAATGTCTGGTAACGCGCTCCTCCATAAAATAACAATAAACCTATTGCTCGTTAAGATCTAAGAACTATTCTTAAACAAATATCAGAACACTAGCACTTATTCCGCTTCTATATTTCAACTTTCTCGGTGTTGGATGCTATAAAACATTTAATATATCGCCTTTTCGCATTAAAAGTGTACAATTTCCAAAAATATTCGAAATTGAGTTAATATGCGGAATCATTTGGTATCACCAGTATTTTTCTCATAAATGCTGTCGAAAGAGCGTTGTTTAGTTTTAGTTTTAATTTATTTATTTTTGACTATGTTTTGACTACTATCAACAAAATTAATACATAATATAATCTCACTTTAAAAGACATATAATGTAACTGGTAAAAAATAAATAAAAGTTGCAAATATGATTAATATGAAAAATATCACATGTTAAACCTTAAACACTCTCCTGTAAAATTATTAAGTTTTGAGATTATACAGTTTTAATGCGAGAAGACGATATATGTTAGCTAAACACTTTCTCTTCTGCATATATATATATATATATATATTTACTTATTTCATAGTCGAGAGTCCCCGTGCAAGTGTGAGATTCACATCCCAGTTCGAATGTCAATGTCAATGTCAACTCAATAATGTAGTCAATGAAATAGTTTCCCGTTTTATATAGTAGCGTGTCACATATTGTTTTTAAGTAATACGATTGGTGTTGATTAGAAGGGAGAAAAAAAAAACGGCATAGAGAATTAAGAGTTTTGTATATAAATGTAACGTTGATGTATTGATTGTGCTGGACGCAAATGCCTGTGTATATTTGTATTTAAAAATGATAATGTTGTGACGTTGTATTTTCTATGTGAAATATAAAATGTTAATTGTAATCGACTTGTTTTATTTACGGTAAACGAGCGGCGAGTGGCGCCGCGGGCTGTGCGTAGTGTAGGCCCGGCGCGGGGGACGCTCGCCGCAGCTTCCGCACTACGTAGGTTGTGTTCCCGTGCACGTCTGTCTTTATCTCCTGCTGTATACATTTGCTTTTACTAAATCCCTCAGTGTAGGTGTGTGTGTGTGTTTGTGTTTTTAAACTATAATGCATCCGAACTACCACTACCTAATTAATTATGAGAGAAAGTATGATGTACTAACCTAAACTAGTATTTTGTTAGCATAGAACTGGGCATTTTTGTTGGGGCGTGCTTGGATCAAACATATGTAACCAAATATTTCGTTTTCCACTTTGAAGTTACTGCATGATTGATATTATCTGTGTTCCGATATTTTATTTTAGTTTTTTTTTATTTTTTTATTTACAGCGCCCTGTGAACCGGATAGATCGGACGCGGAGGACACAGAGCCGCTGTTAAATAATAATAGTATTAGTTAATTAATGTTTGTGACTTATTAAAGCTGTATAAAATGTTTTCTGGTTCATTTATTTTCTGAATCCTCATATGAAACTCTTCGTCGTTCGGTGCGTGGGCTACAGCAACTCCGTCTCACAATATACTCATTTCGTATCTCCCTTTCCAATCCCCAAATTTGAACCAATTATTTTGTGTATTTTTTTTTTAATTTAGCTCACAATACGCATCACAAGCTAAAAAGATACATAAAAAACAAGTAAAAAGAAACAAAATTTGGCTTGCAACATAAGTTATGTGCGCACGACAAAACAAGACATATAGTGCTGAATATGTACAACAACGTTCCTTACAATTACGACAAACAACACGATAACGAAAACTAATCTAACTTATAACGTAAGGAAATAATTTTATTCACAATAAACAATTAAAAAATTACATTACTAACCTATTCATTTCACATCTGATGATTCTAAGCCGGGAAATACGAGCGGCACCTAGCGTCGACAGAATCTACCACCGGATCTGAATTGCGACCCACTGCGAAGATCCGACGAGATTCATATCCGACTACTTCGATATAAAGGGTAATGAAGACGAAATTAGCACGTTGTTGTAGGCACGTTCATACATACCAATCAGTTCTACAACCTTCAATGCTTTTAGGAAACTAAAAAATATTTAGAAATGAGATTTAAAACCGATAAATCACGTGATCATGAAAGAAAGCGAATAAAAAGTCGTAGCCAAAACACAACATTGTATTTATTCATTACGATAGAATAGTTAAGGTATGCGCGTACCGAACAGAACTACGCATACCATTAGTTCTATACTCCAATATAATTCACGGTAGTTTTTTTTTACTTTTATTTTATTTTCTGTCCCTGCCTATTCGTCGATTGCATAAGGGGCTATTCGAGCTACGCCCGGAGAGCTAGACGCCTAGAACTCACGGGCTCAACCTGAGAGAATTTTCAAACACTGGCCCTAACAAGAGCAGTGCTTCACAGAGTACCACCGGATCGGAATCGCGACCCACTGAGAAGATCCGGCAAGAAACTTAATGCCGTGTTTACTTATAGGTTAGTTCGACGAGGACGTTTTTTTTTACGTTTAACAAAAAATCTTATCTATCGCTTTTCATGGTAACGAGATCATCAGTGGCATAAAGAGAGCCATTGCCTCAAATAAGTGTAACTTGTGACTTGGTATTCCTTTGACCAACGTCACCCGTTCGTATAATAAATTATTTCTATTTTTTCTACGAACTAAGTTGAATATATGTGAAATCACGTTCGGCTTGTTACCATGTACACCACATTGATTGAAAAGACTATAATATGATCACAACAGATCACAATCAAACTGACAAAAATATTAAGTGTATTTATTGTCTATGAAATTGACATTTGAATCGTACGCAGACAACAGGCTAAATATTGTGTTTTATAATAGCCAATGAAAACATCATTTAAGATCAAATATATTTGATTGAAAATATTCCTAATTAAAGATTATTTTCCATTAAAAATGGATTTTCTGTAATCAGATAGCCTATTCCTCGAAATGATTTTTCAATCAAAGAAATAATACAAAAACTTCAATGTCCAATTTTCTCCTGTAGTCTCGATACCGCAATGCTCATCCATCAGGGCATTAATTTTTTCCGGACGATATTCCTCCATCAATTTCGAGTTTCAGCAGCATTGGCAACGTGATATTGAGGACAGCAAATCTGGTTTGTCCATCGCACTAAACCTCTACCTTGCTACCTCTTACCTTATACTTTCAGCTGACGATTATGAATTAATGGGCAGTTACTAAATCTTCGTATTCACGAAACTACAATGAACTTACACATTCAGCGCACTCACAGTATCCGACAGCTAAGTATAAACACTTAAAGACGTCAACGTTGTTCGAAAGCAAAAAAATAAAAAACAAATATTAGTAATGTAGAGTTTATCGTTTCGTGATAATGGCCGGCCAAGCGTTGCGCGGCGTCTGGTGATAGTGAGAGCGCAGTGCTATATAGTATAGGTAATGGCGCTCGCTGTTATCAACTTTAAAAAGACACTGTGTGCTGATTTCTTGTGTTAATCATGGTACCTTGGGCTCGTTTGTTCCGAAGACTACACTATGAAGATTTAGGAGAAGCTGGTAAGAAAACATTGATCTAAAATAATATCCAACATAATGTTAAATTACCTGTATCTATCTAATTTACAATTTAACTGATTGGTTTAAGGTTTAATTTTGACTAATGTGTAATTTCGAACAAGTAACTTTTTGGATTTGAAATGTGTTCGCGAATTACTCATATTATTAACTTCGAATTTGTTTACTTAAATTTACATATACTACGAATTTATTCCTTGTATTTATTAGTTGTTTTCGTATAGCGTTCTGATATTGATTATCATTATGAATCAAAGAGCGGTTATATCAGGACGTTTGTTTGCGCCGTAAAATAAATCATATTCATATCATTCAGTTCATAGAGCAGGAGTGTATTTTCCATGAGATTTGGCATTCAAGCTCATCTCCACGTGCGGTTGATGGCATTCACGTTGCGTCTTTTTAGTCTTCGGCAACAAGAGGTTTATGTTTCACTAGAATCCCTAAACGCATAAAATAGTGTAACACTATAAGCAAAATAATCAGTACCAATGCTAGAAGTGTGAGTCACAAAAGAAAATTTCCCCACAAAGTTATTTTACAAATTAGTTTAGTTATTAGTGAGGAATGTTTAAGAGATTTAATACAGTTGCCGTTCCAAAGGTGGAGTACCGTTCATTATGGCCTACATCTAGCAGTGGTGTGATACAGGCTGATGTAAAACCCCTAGCTTCGAGTGGTTGGGTCATAATTACTCCAGAGTTATCTACTGCTCGACCCAGGTCTCTCCTAAGGTTCGCCATAGTGACCAGTTCTACGCAGCCCAGCAGGTCTCCAGCAGGTTAACTTTAGCAGCTCCGCCTTGTGGGAAACTTACATTTTCCGGTACGCGGTCACCACTCAACAACTTATCGGCCCCAGTGGCTATTTATCCTTAGAGCAATATACCCTGCCCGCTGCCACTTCAAGCTCGCTATTCTTCGGGCTATATCGGTTATCTTGGTTCTTTACTAATCTCCTCATTCCTGCAGAGAGCACAAACCTCTCTTTTCATTGATTTAATGTATGGACAAGCTCGTGTTCCACCTGGTGTTAAGTAGTTACTGAAACTTATAGACATCAACGACCTAAATGCCGCCACCCACCTTCAGACTTGAGTTCTAAGTCTCAGTTTTTATAGTACAATGGCTGCCTCACCCTTCAAACCAGAACGCATTACTGCTTCACGGCAGAAATAGGCAGGGTGATAGTACCTACCCGTGTGGGCTCACAAGATGCCCTAGAATTAGTCGGTGCTTGGTACCGTAATACGTAACTAGTCGTAAGAATCGAGTGCTCACACTGCCCAGGGCTTACTCCGCCAAGTAGGAACTATCCCTGAGATATCGCCTTCATTAATCGCAGAAATTTTTAGTGGTAAATAGAGTACAAATTACACAGCAACAATCGTCCGTCACTGTGAGCTGTAAATTATTCGGGACGTCGGAAATAATAAAATTATAGTAAAAATACGAGATTAAATGCTAAAAGCAGCAGGAAATTTTGATTTAAAATGTGAACCCTGTGGTAGTTCGGAAACTAAAGTCAACAACGACGAATTAAAGGCGATAATGGAAGCTGACGACATTCAATCTACCGCTGAGCTAACAGCAGCTTTCAACGTTAGCTTTTGCAGTATTAGTCCCTTTGGGTCAAATTGGCAAGGTATTAAATCTTGGTAAGCGGGTTCCACACGAACTGAACTTACGTATGCCTTGCGTTGTTTAACATAAACGGACACAATGGGATTTTATCACTGTCACTTGCGATGAAAATTGTATTCTTTGTGATAATCGTAAAGGTCATCATGTTAATTAGACCCTGGCTCAGCACCTAGGCAATGCTCCAAACGAAAACTTACCTCTACGTTCTTAACAAAGCTTCTTACTAAATGGCATCAACATTACTGTGCTCGCCGATCTCCGACCAGCTCGTTAAACACTCGTCTCCGCTGCTACTTACGACAACGCTTAACCCCGTACTGCATAAGAAATAATAATAATTGGGGTTTAATAATAATTTTGAAAATCAAGTAAATAAATCATTTTATCACGAATCACTTTTCTATCTAAAGATATCACACTCGAACCAGTAGACATTAACGTGCCACTTACACTTGTGAATCTGATAAGATATGGAAATAGGACCTAATTCGGTTTTAATATAAAATGTTTTTTTTTTCATTCGAATTTAATTTTAAAAAACAAACTTTCCGAATGAAGCACTGCGTTCTCGTCCAAACTCATGCAGAGTCGTTGAGTTGAGTCGCAGAGCTGCTTTTCGTATGTCGTCGCACCAGGCGGGGGGCACGTTACACTTCATTACCAAATTCACTGTTTACTTTGAAAATTTTAGCTGTAGTTTGATAAGCCACTTCATCCTACCTCAGTTTGCTACAAGTCCATAGATGCAACAAGAAGAAACTACTTAAAATAAATCGCAACTGGATTGGAATAATGCATTTTACATTCTTCAAACTGAACGCATTATCGATCTTTGCTCAGTTAGCCGTAGATACTCAAGATAGGGGCTTAGAAATTTGGGAGCTTTGGGGGAAAACAGTCAGAGTAGTTACAACTTCTACTACCTACGTTGAGTTCAGGGTGCTATAGATGCATTTTCAGATCCACAGACAAACAGACTTAGAATAAAAATCTTCTAACTGATTTTACTAACTCTTCAATCTTATTTTAAATGTGATATTTTATCAGTTAGTGATCTTATTTATAATAAAATGCTTATTCCAAGCAATAATCGATATTAGTTACAATGTCATTTAATCCATCGAGTCAAGTGCTTAAAATAGGGTTAGTTTAAGTCTATCGGACTGTTAATGAAGCCTTTAGCTCTATAGAACGATTGTGACATTAGATAAAGTAATTATACATTTGACAATC